TTTTTGAGACAAGGTCTCCCTGTAGCCCCAGCTGGCCTTGAACTCACAGAGATCCACCTGCCTCTGCCTCCCGAGTGCTGGAACTACAGGCATGTGCCACCACACCAGGCTCCTCAGTCCCTTCTTTTTAAACCTCCACTAAGCACCAGGTAGCAGCTCCTGAGGTCTCACCTTTGAGTGGGGATCATCCCTCTGGAACCTGGGGCTCTGTGGACACTGAGGTCAAAGAAGAAACTGAGTTTCAGAAATGTTAATTCAGGGGCCTAAAGTTCCAGCGTGGGGACTGGAGTACAGATCCAGAGTCCAGTCACTTAATGTAGTATGCAGGTGGCACTCAATAAATGCAGCTCTAGTTAAGTCTGGTTCAAGAGTTAACCTCGTATAGAAGACATAACTTCCTTCACCCTGTGGCACTCCCCACGTGACATGGGATGGTGCATACAGCAGGCAGTCACTAAATGCTCTATGGTGACTTCCAGGCAATCAAGAATGGTAACAAGACAGGTCAGTGTGTGTCTAACTGAACCATAGAGAAGAGGTACACACTGATTGGACACCAGCTGTGTACTCGACTTGGGAGGAGGGCAGCAGTTCCCAGCAGGACTGGGGATGTCAGGCTTGTGGGCATTGGCATGCCTGGTGTGTCCGGTCGGTTGGTCCCCACACCTGCTCCTGGTCTGGAGACGTTGGTCTTGCGACAGCCTTGGCTCTGACTCCCTGGAGAGGTGGGAGGGGCGTGAGCACCCCACTTGGGGAGCAACTAAGCAACTTTGGCCTGTGCACCTTCTGGCTTGAAACCCCAGGTTAAAAACACTTGTCATGTCCAGCCTTGGTGTACAACTGTCACCCCAGAACCTGGGAGGCAGAGGCAGATGGATCTCTGTGAGATTGAGGCCAGCCTGGGCTACACTGCAAGTTCCAGGTCAGCTGAGGTTACAGGGAGATCCTGTCTCAAAACAACAACAGCAAAAATTGCTTGTCAAAAGAAAAGAAAAGAAAATCACCTGTCTTTGGGTTGGCAAAGCCTCAGTGTGCCTCAGTTTCCCTACCTCAAATAGGAATTCAGCCAACTATTCTCTGTCAACCCAGGAAAAAGTCAGACTTATACCAGACCCCAAGATAGCTCAATACACTTGCTGTATTACCGTACCTGGGGTAAACCAAGTCAGAGGTTTGGCCTCATATTTAAATAGCTGGATATGGGGCACAAGCCCAGCTCAGTGGGTAGAGTGCTAGTAGCTCAGTGGGTACAGTGCTTATAGCAGCACCTAAACCAGGCGTGGTTTCACAGGCCTCTCATCTTAGCACTCTGGGGGTGGAGGCAGGAGGATCAGGAGTTCAAGGTCATCTTCAGCTACGTAGTGAGTTCAAAGCCAGTCTGGGCTACATGAGACTCTCTCAAATAAAAACAGGCAAAAAAGGACAGCTTACTCAGCACTCATTGAAATTTAAGGGCATGAATCTAATTGAAATGGTGACTCTGCCAGCACACCCCTCTGCATGCCACCCCCACTCCTTGTGTCCCCAGAGAGGAAGTCTGGCTTCATGGAGCAATGCAACGGCTGCCCGGCTTGGGCTATAAGGTCTCCTGTGCACCTGGGGTGCAGAGAGACCCTGGAGCACCAGCCCCAACATGACCCTCTGCGGCCGACCATCCAGCCCAACCCTTACCCTCATGCTCCTGGCCTTGCTCCTGGGCGGTGAGTAACAGACAGCCGTGTCCACCCACCTGAGTGCATGTCTGTCTCTGGAGTTCTGTGCCCCCCTCAAGAGACCAAGATTCCTAGTGGCAAGGCCACCATCAGGAACCATGTTTACAAACCTTGGGGGTCACTGAGAACTCTCTTGGGGACTCAAGTCCAGGGGGCCCTGGACAGTTCCCTCCTCCTCTCTGTGCCTGTTTCCTCATCTGCCCTGAGGGTTCACATGGCTGACTGGGTGTCTGGGGCTCCAGGTCTGGCATTTACCATTTCCTTCTAAGGCCCCACGCTGGCCTCAGAGATTGTAGGTGGCCGGCCAGCCAGGGCCCATGCATGGCCCTTCATGGTGTCACTGCAGCGTCGTGGCGGTCACTTCTGCGGTGCCACTCTGATTGCCAGGAACTTTGTCATGTCCGCGGCCCACTGCGTGAATGGCCTGTGAGTCTCCCTAGTGTGTCCTGCACCTTCCAAGCGGGTCAGACCCAGGACAGGAGGTGGTGACTCCCACCCATGCCCCTCACCCCACCCCATGCCTACAGGAACTTCAGGTCAGTACAGGTGGTGCTGGGAGCCCACAACCTTCAGCGACAGGAGCGCACACGACAGACATTTGGTGTCAGGAGGATCTTCGAGATGGGCTTCGACCCCACCCGTCTCCTCAACGACATTGTGATTGTCCAGGTGCGCCTGGGAGGCAGAAGTCTGAACTGCAGGTGCAAAGGCCCTGAGGCATGGGGTTGGGGTAGGGGTATGGGGGACAACCAAAGTGTCCAGGCCAGATCTAACCCTAACTGGACTAACTGTCCTCTCTCTGTGCCTCAGTTTCTACCTCTGAACAGAGGAGACTATCTCTTGGGTCAGCTGTTGAGTGCTTAAATGAGATAAAATATGAATAACACTGGTCAGTTGTCAATCAACAAACCCCTGTTATTTGTGCTTCATCACTTACCAGACTTCTGGCAGAGGACACTGTGGGGGAAAAAGATTTGGTTTGGTTCCTTTTCTTTTTTCCTTTTTTGTTTTTTTGAAGCAGGATCTCCTTGTAGCCCCAGTTGGCCTGGAACTCACTATGTAGACAGCAGGCTTGTCTCAATCTCACAATCTCACAGAGATCCTCCAGCTTCTGCTGGGATTAAAGGTGCCAGCCACCATACCTGGCCATAAAGGATTCATTTTTTTGCCCCAATTTCTTGACTCTGCCCCTACTTTGTGGTGGGATGCCAAGACTCTGTGCCTACCTCGCTCTGTGGCTCCTTGACTCTGTCATTTCCCTTTGCCCCTCCCCACAGCTCAATGGCTCAGCCACTATCAACACCAATGTGCAAGTGGCCCAGCTGCCAGCCCAGGGCCATGGCGTGGGTAACGGAACGAAATGTCTGGCCATGGGCTGGGGCAGGCTGGGCACGAACCGACAGCCACCCAGAGTGCTCCATGAACTCAATGTGACTGTGGTGACTAACCTTTGCCGCCGCCGTGTGAATGTGTGCACACTTGTGCCTCACCGGCAAGCTGGCATCTGCTTCGTATGTATCCCCACTCCCCACCCCTGTGCTTGGGCTGCAGCAGCATGGATGGTGGTCAGACACCAGGAAGGATTTCCCGGTGGTGCTGGAGGGTAGGTAGGGGCCGCCTTGAGGTTCAGCCCCTGACTTTGACACCTCCACAGGGAGACTCTGGAGGACCCTTGGTCTGCAACGGGATTGTCCAGGGCATCGACTCCTTCATCCGAGGAGGCTGTGGTTCTGGCTTCTATCCGGATGCCTTTGCTCCTGTGGCTGAGTTTGCAGACTGGATCAATTCCATTATCCGTGGCCCTAGCTACCTCCCTCGTCCCTACCCAAGGGTCCCCGCTGGCAGGAGCCCCTAGAACAGGCTTTGTTTGGCCATCCACTTCAGCTGCCCCCCTTCAGGCACAATAAAAGCCAGCTTTGTTTTGTAGACCGCCTCTGGTGTTTGTTGACAGTGACAACCCGAGTTTGAAGGGTACACTATCAGCAGGTGCTGCAAAGTCAGGGCAATGAGGCAAGAGATGGATTTTTCTGTTACAAAATTTTTAATTCTTTCTACAAAAGAATGTCAGTCAGCCTGTCCTTTCTGGTTTCTCTTCCTTCTTTTGTTTTGTTGGCCTTTTTTTTTTTGAGACAGGGTCTCCCTGTAGCCCCAGCTGGCCTGGAACTCACAGAGATCCACCTGCCTCTGCCTCCGGAGCACTGGTATCAAAGGTGCACGCTTGGCTTAAAACTCACTTTCAAAACTGGGTATGGTGTTGCATGCTTTTGATCCCAGCACTTGGGAGGGCAGAGGCAGGTGGATCTCTGTGAGATCACAGACAATCTGGTCCACAAAGCGAATTCCAGGTCAGCCTGGGCTGCATAGTGAGACCCTGTTTCTTTTATTTTTTAATATTTTATGTGTATGAGTATATATTGCCTGCATGTATGTGAATGCACCCATGTTATGCAATGCAGAGGAGGTGAGAAGAGGGCTTCGGATTCCCCTGGAACTGGAGTTAAGGATGGTTGGTAGCCACCATTGGGTACTGGGAATCGAACCCGGGTCCTCTGCAAGAGCAGTCAGTGCTCTTAACGGCTGAGCCATCTCTCCAGCCTGAGACCCTGTTTGAATAAATAGATCAATTAAAATAAAACAGTCCACTCTGGTGCAATTCAATGGGAGCGGCAGATGTCATAGCTGGCTCCTGGGTCCCCCTGACTCCCTGGCTGTCTCCCCTATATTTTCCCCCACAGCTCCTCCTCTATCATGGCCTCTAACCCAGCACCCCAGGGGATCCTCCCACATTCACACATCCATTTACTTCAGGGTTGTTTACTGAACTGTCCCTTCTGGCCCCACCCCTGGGTGGTCGCCAAATCTTGTTGCAATTTCTAATATTCCCCATTTGCACAATCTGAGTTCTACCCTAAAAGATTCTTATACAGCATTTCTGATTATTTATTTTTATTTTCTGTATGTATGTAAATGCATCGGTGTCATGCAATGCCCGTGGAGGTCAGAAGAGGGCCTTGGATCCTCTGGAACTGGAGCTTAGCTGCCATGTGGGTGCTGGGAATGGAACCCTGGTCCTCTGCAAGAGCAGCCAGTGCTCTTAACCACTGAGCCATCTCCCCCTTATTGGAGTGGCAGACCCCCAACTGCCACAGGAACCAGAATGGGGGCATCAGATGCCCTTCCCCCACCCACAAGTTGGAGGAGGATGTGGGGCACGTGGGAAGATGAAGTGGGGTGTTTACACATTGGTTCTCCAGTTGCTATTGCAACATCATCCTGGAAAGACACTAGGGGGTGGGGAACACCTGGCATCCTTCTGCCTCCTGGCCCATTTCAAGCTTGGCCCCTTGTGGGGTAGGCGCTGGCCAGGCCAAGGGAGGGAGGGATTCCCCCCCAGGGAGCCTGGCAGATTTATTTAGATAATCCACCCTAGGGGGCGGAGACTGAAAGGGCAGGTTCCCCATTCCCCAGCTGGGCTGCTGCCCAGCAGGCAGGGAGGTGCCTGTTCATCCTTCACCCCCATAAAATGGCCCCAGAGCCCCGCCTGGGTCAGTGTCAGGATCAGGCAGCTTCAAAATGTGCAGCTCCGTGTGCCTGGCGGCTCTGGTCGTCCTGGGGGCGGCTGTGTGTGGTGAGTGGACCAGAAGGGGGGCAGTTCTTGACACAGCATCCCATGGGTGAGTTGGCCAGGGAACCCCTGAAATAAGTCCACCGGTCCCCCGAGTCCCAGCACATTCCACACTTCCAATCTGTAATCTGAGCCTTCCAGAGTCTCAGCTGTCTTCAACAGTGAGAATCTGAATTTGAAGCTATTAGATTTAGGGTGGGGGGACTAGAATTAGCCTTAGGGCTCTGAGATGACGCAGCAGGTAAGGGGGCTTGTGGCCAAACCTGACGACCTGAGTTCGATCCCTGGGTCCCACTTGGTAGGAGCACCCTCACACCTGGAAGTTAGTGGTGTTTGTGAGTTTGTTGGGGTCAAACTGGGCTCTGTCTGGATGCAATGCACCCCGAATCCTCACAACACCCCCTCCTTCCACAGCAGCACAGCCTCGAGGCCGGATCCTGGGTGGGCAGGAGGCCAAGCCCCATGAGTGGCCCTACATGGCTTCGGTGCAGGTGAACGGCACACACGTGTGCGGCGGGGTGCTGGTCACCCAGAGCTGGGTGCTAAGCGCTGCACACTGCCTGGACGGAGTGTGAGTGACGGGTGGGGGTGCCTAGGGAGGCCCCGGGCAGGTGGGACCTGGACATGAGGTGGACTGCTGTGCTGTCCCCAGGTCGGAGAACGAGACGCTGCAGGTACTCCTGGGTGCACACTCCCTGTCGCAGCCCGAGCCCTCCAAACGCCTGTACGACGTGCTGCGCGCAGTGCCCCACCCGGACAGCAGGCCCCACGGCCTTGAGCATGACCTGCTGCTGCTGCAGGTCTCTCCAGTCTAGCTAATGCCTCTCCTGCTGCACCTGGCCCTGTCTTGAGCGCCACCTAAGGGTGGTCCTTCCTCCTGTACTGAGGTCTCAGTCCTGTACCCCGCTCGGTCTAGCTTGGGCCCTCCCTCCTGCAGGTCCTTGGCCCCCCAAGCCTCAGATCCCCTTTCTTATCCCAATCCCGACCTGACACGCCTTTCCCTCACTCCCAGCTTTCCCAGAATGCCTCGCTGGGTCCTGCTGTGCAACCCCTGCCTTTGCAGCACCAGGACCACGACCTGGCTCCCGGCACGCTCTGTGACGTGGCCGGCTGGGGCGTGGTCAGCCATGCGGGCCGGAAGCCCGATCGTCTGCAGCACCTGCGCCTACCAATCTTGGACCGCGACACCTGCAACCGGCGCATCTACCACGATGGCGCCATCACCCAGCGCATGATGTGTGCAGAGAGCAACCGCAGGGACAGCTGCAGGGTGAGGGCGGGGACAGAGGGGCGGGGGTAGGGCGGGGCCTGATGGGAGGGTCAGGAGGGGCGAGAGTATGGGTGGAACTCAAGAGAGAACTTGGAAACAAGGAAAGGGCGGGGCTTGAGGACAGGAGCGGCCAGAGTCCTGTGGAACGGGAGTGTAGGGGCGGGGCCACGGGAAAGGGGCGGGACCCGGGGCTCGGGCGGGGCCTGGGATCTCTGAGGCTGGAGATGGCGACCAGGTAAGTGAACTAGAGCGGGGAGAAGGGGCGTGGCCTGTGAGGGGTGGGGCCTGCATCCAGGAAGGGGCGGGGCTCGTGGGGGAAGGTGCAACTCAGGAGCTCCCAGCCAATGAGAAGGGGCGTGGTTAGAGGGTGGCTTACGCCCAGGGTATCAGAGAAGGAGGAGCTACAGAGAGCCACAGAGAGGTGTGGCTTTTGAAAATGATGTGCCATGGAAAGGCGTGGCTGTGACAAGGCGACAAGGAATGGGCGGGGCCTGGGGAACGGAAGACACTTGTACAGCTCCTAGTGGGGAGGGGCTCCTAAGAGGCCAGGGTAGGAAAGTGGGAGGAGCTCTGGCATGGCCTGAAGTGGAAGTGGTGTGGGGATGAAGGATGAGGTCCTGGGATACAGGTAAGAAGTGAGTCTGGACCTGGGCGGAGGGGGTGGGGGGGTGTCCGCAAAAATGAGAGGGGCTGAGAGAGTGGGCGGTTTCTCTAGGGGCGGAGCCAAGGGCTAGGTGGGCAGGATACAGGGCGGGGCCTAGATAATTGACAAGCCAAGGCAAGCTTAGGTCAGTCCCGTGGGCAAAGCGCTCAGGGAGGCCATCGTGGGCGGAACTCCTTGAGGGAGGTCGGCAGTAAGCGTGGCCGGCCATAGGCGGGGATGACTGGGAGGGCGTGGCCACGGGGACCGGTGGGGGTCTGAGGATGTGATTGGGCGTGGCGTGGAGCTACTGAGGGAGAGGGCAGTTGTAGGCGTGGCTATGAGTGGGCACGCTATGGCCAGCCGGTACCTGGCTGGGAGTGATGATTTGAGGGTTGAGCAAGGACACAGTGGGCGAGCTTCTTTGGGAGAGGGCGGTAGTGGGCGTGCCTGCGTCCTGGGTGTGCCCGTGACGGGCGGGGCTGTACCTCAGGGTGCGGGGACGGCGGGCGTGGCCTTAGTGGACCTGTCACTCATGGCTCCGCCTCTCAGGGAGACTCCGGAGGCCCGCTAGTGTGCGGGGGCGTGGTCGAGGGCGTAGTCGCCTGGGGCTCCCGTGTCTGTGGCAACCGCAAGAAGCCGGGCGTCTACACGCGCGTGGCGTCCTATGTGTCTTGGTTGAACAGAGTCCTGGAGAATGCTACGGCCTGATGGGACGGCGGGCTGGAGACGCCGTACAATAAATGCATGCACCCGCTCCCTGTGAGTCCTTAATGAAAGCCTGCTGCCCTGCTGCTCTGGCACCCAGAGGGGCTAAAGACCCATCGTTCCACGCTCGGCCACACGGGGGCGCACGCACCCTGCTGGGGAAGCCACAGGGCCCAGAAAGTACCCAAGGGGGCCGCGGTGTGGGGGATACTCCTACCACACTATCTGTAGACCTTGAGGGCCTAAACCCTCTTAAGTTGAGCCCCGAGACCTGGATCGCAGGAGACTGAGACACAAAGGAGCCATGAACAAAGGCAGGACTGGACCTCTAGCCCGTGCTGGTTCACAGTGGAGGAAGTTGATCTCAGGTGCAGCTATACCTCTGGGATGACATGGCAGAGCCCAGCCCCTGTGCCTTTCCTTCTGCCTGGCAGAGGAGGGCACAGCAAGGGGACAAAGATGAGACTGAGGGTCTAAGAGGTGAAGTCATTCCAGTGCCCTGCTGGAAAGGGGGTGGAGCTGGAGACAGGGCCTCAGCTGGCTTCTGCCAAGGCAGGTTCAGGGTGGAACCACCTTTATGCACACACATTCAGTGAGCACCTACTGTGTGCTGGACCCGGGCTCGGGGAGAGGGTGGCCACAGACACAGCCAGGCTGCAGTTGAGCTCTCTGTAGGAAGTGCTTGGGTCCTAAACACACATGGCCAGATGGTCAGCAGGCTGAGGGGTGGGGGGCAGCTGGTCACTGACATCCTGGCATCCCCTCCATGCTCCAGAGCCACAGAAGTCAAGGCTGGTGTGAGCCAGCCAGGGGGCTCTGCACAACCACACTTCTGGCCTCTGTTGCCTGGGCAGGTATGTCAGGAGGACCTGCAGGGGACCCACCAGTCCCCCAGGCTCCTCTGGGCCTGTAGAATATTCCAGAAGGAAGCTAGGCATGGTGGTACATGTCTGTCATCCTAGCGCTTGGGAGTCTGAGGCAGGAGGATTTGGAATTCAGGGTCATCCTCAGCTACACAAGAGTTTGAGGCCAGCCTGGGCTACAAGAGACTATGACTCAAAAATAAGTGGGGTGTCAAGGAAGACCAGAGTAGGGGGACCCTGCCTGGTCCTGTCACCCCTTCTCACTATGGCTCAGCAATGGGGCCCTGTCAGCATGATGTGCCAGGCTCTGGCCCCCAGGCAGCCTGGTTGTACTCAGCCACCCTGCTGAGCTCTGCAGGGCTCTGAGCAGAAAACAGCAAAACCAATTATCATGGAGCAAGTAGCTCAGGGCCTGGCTGCCTGGAGCTGTCGGGGGCCAGACAGAATGGGAACACTTAAAAAGGACCCCTGGGGCCCAACAGCAGCTGAGCTTCCAGAATTCAAAGCCCAGGCAGGCAGTGGCAGGAGCAGATGGCTGGATCATGGCAAGCACACACTTGGTCCTGACATACACTTGGCACTCCATAAATGCAGGCTACCTCAGCACAGAGCAGGTGGGCCTCTCCCAGGGTGATGATGCAGTCTGGGGCACTGGAGGATCTTTAGCTTTTATTGCCCCCACCTCCGACCCCCCACCCCCATTCAGAATGGGTCCAAGAGAGAAACAGGCTGGTGGGCCTGCATCACCCATAGCCTCACCTGGACAGGGCAGATGCATTAGGGACATGTGACAGGAAGACACTGGGCCTGGATCCTCCAGGCCCACCTCCAGGCTCACCTGGACATGCCCCAGGGACTTAGGGTCCTAGGGGTGGCAAGTGGACCATACCCCAAGGCAGAACATTTGTAGGGCTGGCTCCTCTTGTCTGGTCCTGTGATGGGCACTGCCAAGTGTCCCCTTGTGGCCAGGCACAGCACCTCTCTCCTAGCTCTGCATCTGTTCATGGCTGGGCCATCCCTAGGCTTAGGGGCAGCTGAGGGGTGTCCGCCGCCATAGCCCCCCGCACAGGCAGTTCTTGACCCAGCGCTGCTCCCACTGCTTCACTGCTGTTGTGTTGTTGGGTGACTTCAGCATGGTCACACAGCCGCACCTGGGGGAGCAGGACAACTGAGGCCTGCCCACACCCCCCCCACAGCCTCCACCCCAGGCATGCTGTTCCCCTGACCAGCAACACTGTTCCCTGGGCTGATGCCCCAAATCCTGGACTGGCCCTTGGGATCCCCAGCTATGTCTCAGCTGCAACCCCCTCACCTGGTGCAGGCCTTGCACTCCTCTGTGGGGTACGCGCCCAGGTGCAGCCTCCGCAGGTGGTCGATCTTGGGTTGGCCAGGGGCCCTGGGGACCACAGGGGACCCATTAGGGGTATGAGCCAGGAGCATCTGTCACCGGCCTCCCAACCCCAGCCAGCTTGGCTCCTAGGTGACCCCAGAGCTCAGCCACAGCAAGCAAACAACACACCAGATGCCCTTTTCCATAGGGGACAGAGCCAGAGCTTCTGGAACTTTCCAAACATGGGTGAATATGGGCTGCAGGGATGAAGGGTAGTGGGCGGGGGAGAGGAGGCAGCAGATGGAAGACAGTGATGCAGGAAGTGGGCAGCAGGCTTGTACCTGGCCAGGCCATCCAGCTGCAGGGTGGAGGCACTGCTGGGCAGGGTGGGCACCCTGCCGAAGCGCAGGCGCAGGGGCTGTTTGGGCTGTAGGCGGCTGACCAGGCCGTCGCTGGCGGGCAGCCAATCCAGGGTTGGCACAAGCAGCTGGCTGGGCAGCAGACAACACTCATCCACCAGGCCTTCATCTGGCTCACTGGCTGGGCCCTCATCACGGCCTGTAGGGAGAGGACAGGGACAGCACACTGGTTGGCCAAACTACAGACACCCGCCACCCACAGCATCCACCAGTCCCCTTAGGGTTTAGAGGCACAGAGCCACCAGGCTAGTCCAGCTCTGCCCTACTGGGTGACCCTGGGGGACACCATTCCCCTCTACCCTCAAACTTTGCAACTGCAAATGTGAATTGGGAGACCTGTACCCTAATTAGGGCATGCCTGTACCAAGTGCTGGGTAGATGGTGGGGAGCTTATGTTCTGAAGGGGAGCTTGGTCAGGACTTGTATTTTGGTGGGAAAATGGGGTAGAGGGCTAGGCATCTCACAACAGAGCCATAGCTTGGTGAGCAGACGGAAGAGCAGGGACATGCTGTCCTGGGTGTCTGAGGTGGCTGTGTAGACGGGCAGACAGCTGGGCTTCAGCAGGCCCCAGATGCGGATGACGACCATCAGCTCACGCAACATGCCCAGCGAAGTGCCATCACGCAGGAAGCTGTGGCCTGGACGGAGTGGGGAGCCCTGTAGGTAAGGATGCCAGATGTGAGGGCAGGACATGTGCAACCCCAGAATTGCTGTGTGGATGATGTATACAATCCAGTTACCAGCTAACTCGAAGACCCTGGGTGAGGTCTGAGACACAGGTGGCTGATACCATGGGCGCATGCAGCCAGCACCAAGTGGGGGACTGGAGACTAATCAGCGCCCTGCAGACTCAAAATGACCCTGGGATGAAGAGCCCATTGTCCATGGTGTCCACAGGGACCTGGCTGAGGCAGACCCAGGCCAAACAGGGCTCCTGGACCTGCCTCAGAACTAGAAAAATCACCCAAGGAGCCAGGCTCCCTGAATGCGACCTGGGGACCCCAAGGATCAGAGAGGCCTCAGCTGATGATATCCCCCCCCAGAGAAGCCAGAAGTGGACAAGGCTTGGGGTGGAGGATGAGGACTAGGAGGAAGAGGAGGAGCAGGAGGAGGTGGAGGAAGAGGAGGAGGAAGAGAAGGAGGAGGAGAGTGAAGTTTTGAGTGGTCAGGTGGGAGGTAGGGCAGAGCAGGCCCAAAGCTTAGGAGCAGAGGCTCTGAGAGGTTGAAGTTCAGAACTTAGGGGAGGAGGACAGACTGAAAGGTGAGGTGGATTTTTTTGTTTGTTTTTATTTTATGTGTATGAGTGTATTGCCTGCATGTGTGTAAGTACACCCATGTTGTACAATGCCCACAGAGGTCAGGGTATGGAGTGGGAGGTAGGGCAGAGCAGGCCCAAAGCTTAGGAGCAGAGGCTCTGAGAGGTTGAAGTTCAGAACTTAGGGGAGGAGGACAGACTGAAAGGTGAGGTGGATTTTTTTGTTTGTTTTTATTTTATGTGTATGAGTGTATTGCCTGCATGTGTGTAAGTACACCCATGTTGTACAATGCCCACAGAGGTCAGGGTATGGAATCCCCTGGAACTGGAGTTACTGATGGTAGTTAGCCACCATGTGGGTGCTGGGAACTGAGCCCAGGTCCTCCACAAGAGCAGCCAGTGCTCTTAACTGCCATCTCACTAGTCCCTATTTAATTTTATCTTCTTTTTCTTTTTTCCCTCCTTCCCTTTCTTCCTGTCTTTCCCTCCCTCCCTTCCTTCCTTCTTTCCTCCCTCCCCCCCACTGTAGCTCAAGCAGGCCTAGAACGGCCTAGGACAGGCCTCAAACTCAAGGACCCTTCCTGCTGCAGCCTTTTAAATGCTGGGATTGCAGATAGGAGCCACCACACTTGACACAGTCTCTTTTTATGGCTCAGGAAATAAACTCCTGAGAAATCAAGTCATTTGCCCAAGGTCACAAAGCTAGATTGAACTAAAGCCAATAGGACTGAGGTCTCAGAGTCCTGCCCTCTGTTTGCTTTTGGTTTTGTTTTTCCCATTACCACCTTGCTCAGAGAGATTGGAAGGGGAAAGCAGAAGGGCAGTCCAAGAACACAGGTTTGAAGTTTCCACTGAAGGAAGTGAAGGGGCAGGAGGACAGGAGGTGTGAGGAGGAGGGAGGGACAACCTGGGGGCAGATGCTGCAGAGTCTCCCTGTTCCTCACCCAACCACTTTAGTTCTCCCATGTTCCCGGTGCCCATGCAGCCTGTCTCTTCTGTACTGCCTTTCCACGTCTTGCAGGACCCAACCAGGGCACAGTGCCGTCAGAAAGTCCTTGTGGCCGTTGAAGCCTTCCCCTCGCACTCCCATCCTGCTCTTCTCTCTCTCTCTCTCTCTCTCTCTCTCTCTCTCTCTCTCTCTCTCTCTTGGCACCCATTTGATGCTTCACTGATATTTATTGACCCAAATTCCAAACTGATATCCCATATTACCTTCCCTGCCCCAAATGCAGTGAGAGGTCAGAAAAGGCTGTTGGATCCCCTGGGACTGGAGTTATGGACAGTTGTTAGCTGCCATGTGGATCCTGGGATTCGAACCCGGGTCTTCTGCAAGAACAACCAGTGTTCTTAACTGCTGAGCCAGTTCTCCAGCCCCCCAATTTTTTTTTTTAATCTTTTAAATATTTAATTTTTATTTTATGTGTTTTATTGCCTGCATGTAGGTAAGTGCGCCTGTGTCATGCAGTGCTACAGAGGACAGACGAGGCCATCGGAGCCCCTGGAACTGGAGTTAATGGACAGTTGTTAGCTGCCATGTGGGTGCTGGGATGCGAACCTGGGTCTTCTGCAAGATCAGTGTTCTTAACCACTGAACCATCTCTCCAGTCCTTATTTATTATTTATTTATTTATTTATTTATTTATTTATTTATTTATTTGTCTTTTTGAGACAGGGTCTCCCTGTAGGCCTAGCTGTCCTGGAACTATGTAGACCAGGCTGGCCCTTGAACTCACAGAGCTACGCCTGCCTCTGCCTCCCAAGTGCTGGGTGTATACCACCACGCCCAGCTTATTTTTTTATTTTTATTTTATGTGTATGTGTGTATCGCCTGCATGTAGGTGAGTGCACCTGTGTTGTACAATGCTGGAGGACAGAAGAGGCTGTCGGATCCCCTGGAAGTAGAGTTATGGACAGTTGTTACCTGCCATGTGGGTGCTGGGATTTGAACCTGGGTCTTCTGCAAGAACAGTCAGTGTTCTTAATCCCTGAACCATCTCTCTAGCCCCCAATTCTTTTTCTTAAGACAAGATCTCACAAGGCACAGGCTAGCCTCCAACTCACTATGTGACTGAGGATAACCCTAAACTCCTGTTTCCTTTACCGCTGTTGTTCACATTGTCACCCCAACCCCAGCCCTGTATAGGAATGAACCCAGGCCATATCAGCCATACTGCATACCCACCCACGTCAGTGACCTTGGCGCAGATCTCAGCCAGCCGGTCCCCAGGGCTCTTGTCTGGTGTGTTGAGGAAGTGGGGGCGCAGTAGTGACTTGAGGGTGGAGGTGACAGCCATGAGGAAGAGCTTAGTGTGGTAGTCCCACACGCGTGCCACCGTGCAGGGTGAGAGCCTGCACAGCGAGGCCTTCATGGCAAGGATCCGTGTGGACAGGACCTGGGAGACAAGGCTGTGAGTGGACATCCTCAGAGCTCGGGTTGATGTGTCAGGGCCATGCACTGGGCAACCCCGGGAGCTGCTCCACATGTTTATGACCAAGCAGACTCTGGCCCAAAGTCCCTGGTACCTGAGGATGGGGCTGTTGCCCCTGTGACAGGTGGTCAGTTAGGTGTCCCCCAACCCTCAACTGTGTCCCCCAGATCTTCTACCATTGTTTCATTTTTGAGGCAGGGTTTACCTGCCCAAGACTCTTGCAGGCTAATAAGTTGTACTGGGGGTGGAAGCTCCTGGTCACTTGGGACTGTTGGTACACACAGCTTCCCCAGCCCTCTGCACATGAAGCCCCTCCCTCACACCAGGCTCCTCCCTTGAGTGAGGACCCTCCTTCCCACAGGAGGGCCCACCATCACTCTCACACAGACTCAGCCCACCTGCTGCAGTGCCGGCTTCTGGCGGGTGTACTCCTCGTGCAGCCGCTCCACCAGGCTCTGCACCATGCCAGGCTGCACGTGTAGCAAGATGTCCCACCAGTCATAGCCAGTCACCATGCAGTACTCCAGCAGGAACAGCAGGTGTTGCAGTGCCAGCTTTGGCTCCAGAGGGAGGCCCAGCGACGGCGAGATTCGCAGCATGCTGAGCTGGGGTGGGAAAGAGGGCTGAACTGGGGGGTGGAGGAGAGCTGGGGGACAGAAGGCTGAGCTGAGAGGAAGAGAGGGCTGAACTGGGGTGAAGAGCTGAGGGGCTGGAGTATCCCTTGCCCACCTTGCCATGGTTGTCGATGCCCACCAGGGCCAGCGAAGTCCAGGACAGCTGCATGGCCTTGAAGTGCACGGTGGGGCTGGTGGTGCGTGGCCGCTTCAGTGCTGGCTCATCCAGTGACCGAGGGGCTGCCGAGCTGTAGAAGGCCGCCATGGTCTGCAGCGACAGCCGGTGCACCATGTGCACGCTGCCGTCCTGGAACGCCAGGGCCAAGCCTGGGTCGGGTGTGGGTGGTCAGGGCGGCCATGATCCCCATACTGAGGGGACCCCAGCTGAATTGGAATCCTCCCAGGCTGAGCCAACCATCTACATAGAAAACTGCAAAGCCAGGCAAGACCTTATGGCTGGGCTGGCCAAGGCAAGGGGTCCCAGCCCAGCACACCTCAAGATGTGTGGGTCTCTGCAAAAGAATTTTGCCCCATATTCCTAGCACAGTATCTGCTGGCCAAGGCTCTTTACACATTAAGGAACACTTTTTTTTTTTTTTTTTTTGGTCTTTTTGAGACAGGGTCTCCCTGTAGCCCCAGCTGTCCTGGAACTTACTATGTAGACCAGGCTGGCTTTGAACTCAAAGATATCTGCCTGCCTCTGCCTCCCAAGTGCTGGGATTAAAGGCGTGCGCCACCACACCCGGCGGAGCATGGCTTTTTGTTAACTGGCCATGGCTCTTTACAGATGAAGACAAACAGCTATCTGGCAGCTTTTGAAATCCTCTGTTCCAGGAAGTGGTCCACACCTCCTATGATACTCATGATCCATGCCCCACCCCCATAGACCAGAGGGGCTGTGGTAGCTGCTCCTAGGCCCAACATACCAAGGCCGGGATAGAACTGGGTGTCGCTGGCCACCTTGAGGTCAGTGTTGGTGAGTGAGATGGGCAGCTTGGGCAGTGCCACGGCTGACACGCGGTCCAGGTCGTTGGTGGCTGACAGGATCCGCCACTTGAGGATCATGGGTTGTTTGTCACCCACTGGACCATTGGGGGCGGGGCACCAGGGCAGTGAGGAGTGAGACAGGAAGGTAAGGTCATTTCAGGACAGTGGGTGCTCAGTGCCTCCCCCTTCTCCTGGCCTGTCAGAGCAGGCCTCCTCCACCACACTGCCCACATGACCTGAGTTGGGCCAGCAGGCTCAGGTCTGGAACTTTTATTTTGAGACAGGGTTTCATGCAGCCCAGACCAACCTTCAACTCATTAGGAGCCAAGGATGACCCTGAACTCCTGATCCTCCTGCCTCCACCTCCCGAATGCTGGGATGACAGGCCTGTATCATCACCATGCCTGGTTTATGTGGTGCTAGAGATGAACCTGGGACCTTGTACATGCCAAGTTAACACTCTTCTACTGAGCCATAAGTACTCTACCCACTGAAGCCTAAGGACAAGTGGCCTTGCCTGCCAGCAAGCTCAGATTGCCTGGTGACTGAAATTCCCATTTAATACCCCTCTGATCACCATGGGCAGTCTACGTCACTGCCCCAGGTCTGTTGACTGGCTTCATAAGACTGGCCCATTAGCCATGGACATCACCTGGGGTCCATTAGCTCTGGCCTCACTCTAATAGGCAGGAAGGTCACCCAAGCTGAACCATAGAACTGAGATGCAGGGCAGTGGGGGTTCAGCAACACTTCCTGGTAAAGGGCAGGTGAGTGGGGTGTCAGCCATGACCACCCTGAGAGAGCTACAGGGTTTGCTTTGGGGAAATGAGCTAGGTATGGCCTTCGTAAAGCCAGTGGACCCCTGCTAAACCTCAAATTCCTCTCTGAACCAGGATTTCTAGAAGATTCCAAATGCCTCCCGTGGCTGTGTGAGCCCTCCTGACCTGCCTGGAAGCCAGGGGCAAGGGGGAAGGAAGATGGGTAAATTAAAAACCAGTATTCCAGAGCCTGCTGGCTGCTCTTGCAGAAGACTCAGTTCAGGTCCCAGCATCCACATGGTGGCTAACAACCATCTGTATCTCCAATTCCAGGTGATATGATGCCTTCTTCTGGCCTCTGTGGGCACTGCATGAATATGGATGCACTTACATATATTCAGAAAAACACTCATAGACATGAAATAAATAAGCCAGGTGTGGTGGTACACACCTTTAATCCCAGCACTTGGGAGGTAGAGGCAAGCAGATCTCTGTGAGATCAGATCAGCCTAGGCTACATAGTAAGTTCCAGGCCAGCCAGGGCTACATGATGAGCTCCTGTCTCAGCCTGTCACCACCAAAAATAAAGCCCACAGTGTGCGTCCACCCCGTGCCCACATTTCCCTCCCCACCCCATGACTTACCGACTGGTGAGATCTGTTGGAAGATATTGTTGACTGGCAGGCCCTCCTTCCGCAGAGACCAGCACTCCACTAGGCTGCTGGTCTGGCTGGATGCGCACAGCAGCACCTGGGTGCGTGGGGGAGAGGGGGCTCGGTGAGGACATGGCCCAGTGGCAATGGGCTCCTAGACCAGTCCTACCCTGCATGGGACCCAGCAGGGTGCCTCACCTCTGCTCCATCTCCTGCCAGGCCCACCCACAGCACTGTCTGGTGACAGGTCCGATCAGGACTGTCTTGGAATGTTGGAGACCTGTGGGGCCTCTTATTTCACGAGGGCAGCAGGAGTCTAGTGACCTGGCGATCAGCAGACAATTGCCTCAAACACAAAGTCTGTCCCAAGCTCTGGAAGACTGAGTACCCTGGGCTGGGGACTGCCCTGGATCATCTGGGACCCTGTATTATCATGAGGTCCTCAAGGAGGCAGGAGGGTGAGGCTGAGAGACTGGGAAACCCTGGGACACTGGCTCTGCTGATGGAGCCAAGGATGCAAGGATTCTAGATACTGCAACACGCAAGCCAAGGGACGCGGAACCTTTGAACGCTGGGACAGGCAAGAGGCAGGAAGGGGCTGAGAGCTAAGCAGGACCCCAGGACTAGACACAGGCAGAGCTGACCCTGGCTCACCTGCTCAGACATGTCCCGGGCCAGGAACTTGAGGTGGGTGATGGCGGGGAACCTGTCCTTGCGGTTGGGGTCTGTGGTGCAGCGCATGAAAAGCGATGGCAGGATCTCTGTGTCAATGCGGCACTTCTCACTCACCACACTCACACACACCTTGTAGAACTTCACAGGGGATGCGCTGCTGCCATCAGCTGCGGCCACCACAATGTTGCCACCACCCGTGAAGGCGATGTCGGCCAGTGCCACTCGGCCCCGCAGCCGGCACAGGCTCTCAGTAGACGTCAGCACCTGCCCACTTGGTTTCAGCAGGGACACAGTCACCAGGCCGCTGACTGTCACTGCGATCCAACCCTCCATGGGCTTCCCGCCAAATAGCGTGAGCGAAGGGGAGAACTTCACACGGGAGAACTTCTCACCAAAGCTGGAGGCACCTGACTGTGGGATGGGAAGATGGGGAGAAAGGGCCTACTCAGACTCTCAGGATCAAATAGCCCCTGAGCACAGACCCAAAATGCCACAGGAGCACTGCATGATGGGGGCCTCTCTGACCCTCAGCCTCCTCTTCTATAAGACAAAAGTAACGGTATTGTTCTCAGAGGAACAGAAACATAGTACATTGCTTCTCTGTTGTGACCTCCTGCCTCGTATCTTCCTCCACAGTGGAACCAGGCTGTGTGCCACCAAACTTCACTGAAGAGCAGGTGAACTGTGTGCATTCCTAGGCAGGACTACCCCTGTACCCAATACTCCTGTGTGCTATATCTGTGTGTATTTTGTATTTCCAAATTGGGTTTGTGAAAGTCTAATTCATATACAAAATACACCTTGTTAGTTTGAGGCACTGTCTTGCTATGTAATGGACTAGAATTCAGGATCCTTCTGCCTCTGTCTCCTGAGTGCTGGGATTAAAGGAACCTGTGCAGTCATGGAGCTAGGCCTGGCATGCCTTCCTACTGATACTCATGGACCACCCGGCCCACACTGAGGAAACAGTTCAGATGCCCCAAGTCCAACTCTGTCAGCCACGCCTAATGTGTTACACTAGAATCCAGACAGGGAAATTATAGGTTGTTATGAATTAAACTGTGGGCAGGGGTCTGAGGACAGCAGCAATCTGTTCAAGGGGTATCTTGTTGAAGGTATCAGCCTTTTTTGATTAATTAATTTTTTTTTTTGAGACAGGGTCTCCCTATAGCCCCAGCTGACCTGGAACTCGATATGTAGACCAGGCTGGCCTTGATCTCACAAGAGATCTACCTGTCTCTGCCTCTTGAGTGCTAGGATTAAAGGCATGTGCCATCATACCTGGCACCAGCAGAGGTCAGGCCCAGGGCTGGAGTACCACAGAGGCCACTGACAGTGGAGAGCAAGGGGCAGGTAGGCAAGTCAGTGTGGCAGGGCATCTCCCTCCTGTCCCTTGTCACCACTCACCTTCTCTACGTGTAATGCCAACTTCACGCCATTGTGCAGCCAGGACAGTGCCACAATGGGGTCCCCATCCACCCGACTGCACACTGTGCTCTCCCAGCTGTTGGCCAAGTGCTCTGCCATGTTCCAGCACTTGATCTGCCCATCGGCATCTGCTGACAGCAGCCGGGAACCTGTGTGGAGAGAGTGGGCTCAGGAGCCGTCCCCACGGACAGTGAGGTGACTTCCCATGGGAAGGACAGGGACTGCAAGCCTGTGAGCTTGGCCTCACCTGACTGGTCCCACTCCAGGCAAGTGATGACCTCACTGTGCCCCGAGCTTATGGAGTGCACCTCCCACGGGTGCTCCGTGTCCAGAATGTGGATCATGTGGGTCAGGTCTGCAGGGGTAATGGGAAAGTCAGCAGTGTCTGCAGTGCCCCATGAACCCCTGCAACCCTGAGGACACCACGGAGGGTCCTGGGAAGTGCCAGGGCCTCCAGTGCAGCCAGAGCAACGCAGGATGGAGCGTGAGCGTGACCCCCCATTGCCCTGCTTTCCCTAGCTATATCTCTAACCTCAACAATGCAGAGCTAGGGTGGCCATAGCCAGCCTTCTCTAGGGGACACTTTCAGTGTGGTCAGCCCACAGTGAGCCTAGCCCAACAGCATGGGTCTCCCACCAGAGAGGACGGCAAGGACACACTCTGGGTGTGGACTCACCCTGGTCCTCACTGCGCAGGTCTGTGGTGAAGGCAATGAGGTTCCGACAGGACCAAGCGCAGGCCAGGGGCAGCGATGGGCAGTAGGTGCTCTTGACCCACTTCTCCCACTCGCACACATAGGCCAGGTCCATCACACCCATGGCACCCAGCAGTGTCCCCGGCTCCTGTGGGAAATGACACCCACTCAGTCCTGAGCACCTAGCCTAAGGGAAGGATCCTGAAGAGTCAGACTCAGTGGACAAAGCAAGCCTGGCCAAGCTCCGCCCCAAGCCATTAATCCCCACCCCCAAGTCATTAATCCCCGCCCACAAATCACTTAGTATGCAAGGTCCCAACCCCAGGCCATCTATCCCTGAGCCTTAGGATATATGCTAAGTACCCTCACCACACAGTGCCACCTCCAACAGTCTTACAACCCAAGGTCCCGCTCCCAGACTAACTGCCAGCCCAGGCCCTGCCCCATTCGCACCCTGATCCTTAGGCTCCCAACCCTCCCCAGCCTTAGAATCAGGCCCCGCCCCTCTCCTCAGCCTCGGTGCCTCAGACACCGCCCCTATCCTCAGTCTTGGCATCTCAGGCCTCGCCCCTTCCCCCCGCAGGTCGCTACCCAGCACTCTTTGTTCCAAGAGCTGCCCTCTGACCCCGCAGCCTCACCCCTCAGCCCTCCGCTCCCGGGCCTAGCCCGGATCCCGTAGGCTCCGCGCCCCGTGTTCCGCGCTGACCTGTCCGCCTCGAGCGCCCAGCCGACCTGGAGGCCGCGGCCCACATTCGCCCCAGCGCCCGGGCTCAGGCGCCGCCATCTTTTCCCTCGAGCCACACGGGCGCTTTGCACAGGATTCTGGGATGAAACCTTTTCTGAGTGTATTTGCATTAACACTTCCCAGAAGTCATTGCGGTCCTATATGTGTTAATAAGAGACAAATCATTTGCCATCCCTGGCCACCGGCTACATCTAATGATGTTCGGGTTACCATAATGTCAAAATACATGAAAGATTACTTGTTTCGTTTAAAAGACAAGCAAAAAAAAATACCCCTAATTTATTCATTCTAACTATAAAGAAATTTACTTTTAGTGCTTTAAATATCTTGTGGCTCAAGTGAAAATTCGTGCTCGCTTCGGCAGCACATATACTAAAATTGGAACGATACAGAGAAGATTAGCATGGCCCCTGCGCAAGGATGACACGCAAATTCGTGAAGCGTTCCATATTTTGTATGCACTGTCTCCCCAGAGAAATTGAGGCAGGCTGCAGAGCAGGCTCTCTAAACCCTACTCTTTACATCTTAAGTGCCATCTGCTAGTAAAGTGACTTTATACAAACTTTTTTCCTTTTTTTTTTTTTACCACTGTAGCCCAGGTTGGCCTCAAATTGTTGTAATCCTGTTTCAGCCTCCAGCGTGTTGGGATGACAGGCATGCACCTAGGCCAGGGGTTCAAGTTTTTTGGGTTTTTTTTGTAATTGTAATTTTGTCTGTATGGATGGGTGAGTATGTGGGTGCACATGTCACAGTGAGGTCAGAAGACAACTTGGTTCTCCTTCCACCCTGTGGGGCCTGGGAATCGAACTCAGGTCATCAAGCTTGACTGCAAGCACTGTAGTTGCCAAGTCATCTTGCCAGCCCTCAGGGTAACTTTACTTTTTGGTCTTTTTGAAACTGGGTGTGCTGGATAGCTTTAGTGTCAACTTGACACATCTCGGTTGAGGAAGCCTCAATTGGGGAATATCCTCCATTGTACTGGCCTGTGGCCATGTCTGTGGGGCATTTTCTTGATTGTTGAGTGATGTGGGAGGGCCCAGCCCACTGTGGGTGGTGCCACCCCTGGGCATGTGGGCCTGTGTTGGATAAGAGGGCAAGCTGAGCAGGGGCCAGGGAAGCAAGCCAGAAAGCAGTGTTCCTCCAGGTTCCTGCCCTGAGTTCCTGTCTTGGGCTCCCGGATGAACCGTGACCCACAGGAGATGTAAGCCACATAAACCGTTTTCTGTGACCTGTGACCACAGGAGATGTAAGCCACATAAAACCCTTTTCTCCCCAAGTTGGTATCAGTCAGAATGTTTTGTCACAGCAATGGAAAGACAAACTAGGACACAGGGTCTCCCTGTAGCCCCAGCTGGTCTGGAACTCAATATGTAAACCAGACTGGCCTTGAACTCACAGAGATACGCCTGCCTCTGCCGCCCAAGTCCTGGGACTAAAGGTATGTGCCACCACACCCACCTCAGGGTGACTTTTTAAATATAGATTAAAAATTTTTTTTTAAATTTATGTGTATGCGTGTATTGCCTGCATGTAGGTAAGTGCACCCATGTCATACAATGCCCTTGGAAGACAGAAGAGGCTGTCAGATCCCCTGGAACTGAAGTTAGCGGCCATGTGGGTGCTGGGATTCAAACCTGGGTCTTCTGCAAGAACAGTCAGTGTTCTAACTGCTGAGCCATCTCTCCAGCCTTTTAATATGTTTTTAATGTTGTGTACTTGGGGGCAGGGAGAGTGCGTGTGAGTGACCCTGGAGTTGGAGTTAAAGGTGATTATGGGTGCTGGGAACCACTGAGCCATTTCTTCAGTTTCTTTCCAATTGAGGCTCCTCCCATCTTTAAACTGCCTGGTTCTTCCTCTAAAAATCCATTCTGAGTAGAGGCGTGGTGGCACACACCTGTAGTCCCAGCACTTGGGAGGCAGAGGCAGGCAGATCTCTGTGAGTTCAAGGCCAGCCTGGTCTCCATAGTGAATCCAGGACAGCTGTGGCTACAGGGAGACCCTGCTTCAAAAAGACAGACAGACAGACAGACACACACACACACACACACACACACACTCCTTTCTGTTCCTGCAGGCCCTTCCTTACTTTGGGCAATCCTGGGGTTTCTCCCTTCAGTCTCCTCTCCTTCTTTCCTCTGATATAAGGTCTCATGTAGCCCAGGCTGACCCTGAACTCCTTCCTCCATCTCCCCAGTGCTAGGATGACAAGCTTGCGCCACAATACTTAGTTTATGAGGGGCTGGGAACATACCCAGGGCCTCATGCCTGCTAGGTGAACATCCCTGCCCTGTCTAAACATTTTACACATGTTCAAAACGACCAGGGCATCAAGACTGGTGGTTCCAGGTGTCCAGATATCAGCCCATTGCCCTCAAAGACCCACCAACCCCTGCCAGACCAGAAGACAAGCCACACACAGCAGAGGCCAGAGCACCAGGGGTTTATTAAAAGCTCCCATTTCCTCCAAGCACAAAGAACCACACACACAGGAGGGAAGGCCCAGCCTGCCCAATATACAAACCCCCTGCAAGTGACCATAGCCAGGCTAGATAGAGGGCCAGAAGAGGGGACAGGACATTAGGGGAGGTCAGAGGCTTCTGCTCAAAAGTCCTGGACCCCGGTATAAAGAGAGGGAGTGAGGAAGCAATTTGAAAGGCAGGCACGGCCCAGGGTTTGGGGACACAATACACACATTATGAAAAAGCATAAAATCAGCCCTTGAGACAAGTATGTCTTGGGTCACTTGGCGTACCGTGTGTACACACACACACACACACACACACACACACACACACACACACACAAAGAGCTCCTGGGGGGGGGGCAATAGGATCCTAGAGAGGGACCAGTCTTGTCCCCATCAGAGCTGAAACCTGGTGGGGGTGGGGTCAGGCAAGGGCTACAACAAACCCCCACCATTTACCAACAGAGCAAATTGTTTTTGTTTTTAGTTTTTTGTGTTTTTTGGGGTTGTTTCCCTCTCCTTTTCAAAAGAGAAAAAAATTTAAAAAATCTACCACAAAACATGCCAAATTCATTAAAAGTGATTTTAAAAAACAGTCTGTCTCTCTTCGCCTGAGCTTCAGACTGGCCTAAAGAGGTAAACTGAGCAAGTCAGGTTTCCCCACTCCCCAAATACAAGTCCCTGTGTAGGGAGCTATAGGGCTGCCCTGTGAGAGCCAGGCTGTGAGGGGATAGAGGCAAGAGAGACACCCAAGGGGAAGAGTGGGGTTCAAAATCTAAAAGTGTGGAAAATAATTAGCAGATGTTGGAGGTCTGGCACAGGGCAAGGTGGTGGGTGGAGGCCCTGTGGGGGCCATCACTGCTGCTCCAGGTAGGCAGACAAGAGCAGCTCTGGAGGCAAGAAGTCAAGGTGGCGGTTGCTGACCTTCATCTGTCTCCTTCCCTCCAGGTTAGCACCTGTAGGAACAAAAACAGTATAAGGAATCAAAGGAGCCAAGCGCTTGTAGCTCTAGGATGCCCTCTTTCTCTCTCCCATCTTCCTAGGAGCTTCCCTCCATGTCCACACAACTTAATCCCTACAGAGAAGTCCCACACACTCTGTGCACTACCCACCCCCCACTGCTTGCACTAAGCCCCTCCAATTCTCAGTTGTATAGGAACAAAGGCAGGAGTGAGAGCCACGGAGTGTTCCACAGTGGGAACCAGAGGAACGATGGTGGGCTGCCATGGAAACCGTCTCCGAGGCAACTCTAGGCCGAGGCTGAAACAGGTGCTGGGAAAAGCAAGGACCAGATGGACCACCTGGAGCCAGGGCAGGCCCTGACAACCATCACAGAGTGGGAGAGGGCAGTGTTCATGGCTCTGTCTGCCCACTAGGAACCTCTGTCTCCTCCTCTTCTCCAGGTTTGGTGTGGCCTCTCAACTCCAGGCTTCAACACCATCACCTGAGTCCTCTCTCCTCCCCGGATAGGTGGATGGAGGGGTGTCTGCCCACTTGGCCAACACGAAGCTGGGCACCCAGAGTGCTTCTCTCCCCTATTCCTTCACTACGGAGCTCCTGTACTGGGACACACTGTGGAGCCCCAGCCACCACTTCCTAGGGTGCAATAGGCCAAGGGGTGCACTCACTGGCTGAGATGAGGTCCATGTACTGGCAGACCGCGTGAAGCAGAAGTCTCTCAAAGCTGCAAGGGGAACGGTGTGAGTGGCTGAGCCAGAGTGGGCAGCAGCACCCCTCCCTCAGCCCCAGTACCTGCTATCCAGCATGGCCGTGTACACAGCCTGGGGGGACGCAGAGAAGAACCCCAGCAGCCGCTCCTCCCAGCACTCTAGGGTCTCCTGTGGAAATGGGAGAGTTCAAGGGTCACCAATGTCTCCTGAGGCACTCCAACTACCTCCAGAGCCCTCCACCATCACGTGCCTGTCTGTGTCTTGGGCCTGGTGAACCCTGCACACTCTGCAGGGTCCTCTTCATAGACTCCTCCTCCCCCCAGGGTCTCCTGTCACCTAAGACCCAAGTGAGAACTGGTGACATGAAGAGGCCAGGCATGACGAGGACGCACCACTCACCATGGGGATACGGCTGCGCTTGAGCACGGACCGCAGTCGACGACTGATGCGCTGGAAGCACTCCTGGGGTGTGAATGCTGGGTCCTCTGTGAGAGCAGGGAGAGGGGGGCCAGGGTGAGTGGGGGAGGGGAGCGATGGGGCTCAGGGGGAGGAGGGGGAGGCCACCAGGCCACACCCGAGTCTGACCACACCCACCAGCCAGCCCCACCTTCCACAACACAGCCAGGCCCCGCCCCTGTGACCAGGCCCCGCCCACCTGCAGTCTGGCCCATCTGTTCTCTGGCCCCACCAACTCCAGATTTTGGGCCCATATACTGAGCCCTGGCTCCACCCACTCTATGTACCGATCCTGCCCATACCAGGCCACACCCTTGAGCCATAGCCCCGCCCCCACATCCAAGCTCGCCCCACGCTGCGACCTCGCCCCACCTCTCCGCCGGTCCTCACGGCCAGGGCCAGGGCCGCGCCTGCGCGCCTTGTTGGGGCCCTGGTCCTCCAAGTAGCGCAGTACCCGCTCCTGCTCCTCCCCAGAGCGGTTCATGAAATCATTCCAGACCTGGAAGACAGGCAGGCCGGTTCGCCCTGACCTCAGGGCCTCAGTTTGCCTACTTGGCAAACACAGAAGGCGCCCATCTGTAGACACCTGCACGCACTGGAGCCAGAGGGCAGCTTTGCAGGATGTGTAGGAGCTCACTGGGGCATGAGCCCCCCATCTCCTACTGGGCCCCACACCCAGTGACACGTAACCATGTACGGTTAACACTCTGCAATATGCGGAGCAGATAAACCCGGACTCTGGATGCACAGGCAGTGGTCTGTGAAGCTGGGGGGGCCGCGAGGGGTCCCCAGATCTCACCTCCAAGTAGGTGGCATTGCTGCAGGCCTCTGCGAAGATGCCGGGTGCAGCAGGGGGCGTCAGGTCCCCATCCTCCAGCCCTGCTGGGCCCCCATCTGTTTCCAGCAGGGTTAGAAGATACTGGGCTGGGTAGGGACAGAGGGTCTGCGTTTTGAGATGGCATTTGAGGGGGTCCTCAGCCTCCTCAACTCCACTGTCCCCCATTTTGCACACAGGGTCTCCTTGCCTGGCTGACGTATGTATCCTTCAAAGACCTCCTTCCAATGCCCAGCCAGAGAGTCCCCCACAGCCCCGGGTGCACCCCACTCTGAGCTTACTGTTCTGCAAACGTTGCAGGCTCTTCCGTCCCTTGGCCTTGGGCACTAGGTCCGAATTCCGCACGGCCTGGTTGATGAAGTGTTGCTTGCGTCTAGAAGCGGAAAATCGCTTCACGTGGGAGCCTGTGAGTGAGGGCAGGCAGCCAGGAAGGGGCCTGTGAACCAGGAAGGGGGACATCAGTCTGCAAGAGTTGGTTTCCCTGGCAACAAGGAGCTTGGCACATGCCCCACAGTGTGTGGAGACCTGGTCCTCACAACACCCCTAGGATGATTAAGATCAATAAACTGAGGTAGCTGGCAAGATGGCTCAGTGGTTAAGAGCACTGGTTGCTTTTGCAGAAGATCTGGGTTTGGTTCCCAGGACCGAAATGGTCCAGGGGATCAACACCCTCTTCCTTCTTCCTTGGGAACTGCACACAGGGGTGCATTTACATACATGCAGACAAAACACTCATACACATAAACTTTTAAAAATTAGTGAACTGAGGCTCAGCGATGAGAAGACATTTGCCTGAAGCCAGACAGAGAAAAGCCCCCCCACCATCACCCCAAGCTTTCCAGATTTGAGTCACCAGACAGCAAGGCCCCCAATACCCTCAATTCCACCACCCTAGGCACCCTGTAAATCAGGAAAGAGCTGAGACAAGCTCCTCCTGATGGCCCAGTCTACCTCCTGGGTACCCCAAGTCAGCCCTCCCACAGGAACCCTAGAGAGGGCTGGAGCCAACTCCGGAGTTAATGGGTCCCTGGGAGCTAAGCCAACACCCACAGAGCTAATGGCTCAAGCACCTTCAAATGGTGTTGACCGAGGCAAAGGATTAGTGAGAGGTCAGGCTTGCTCCTGGGTGCTGGAGGTCTCAACCAGTTCTGCCCTACAGCTGCGCATTCTGTGGCCTGTGCCTGGCTTGGAGCCTCTTCATTTTCCCATCATTACACACTGGCCCTGACAGAGGCTTGCCCACCTCACCCAACAACTGTCAGTGATGTGTACATGGACTGCATGTTTATGCCCCTGTTTCCCCAAAATTTATAGCCCTGCCTGGCACACAGTGGGCCTTCAAAACATAACTGCAGGGTCAGTTTTTTGTTTTTTTTTTTTTAAAGTGGGAGAGATGCTCCTCAGGGCCTGGAAATTAGCTCCTACATGAATCCACCTGTTGAGCTCCTGTATCTACCAAGCTTCCTATTTTATGGGGCAGAATGAACACGGTCCACGGCATGGTCCCCAGGGTTTAGGAAGTGGGGAATCGGCTGCTTGGTTTCCTCCTGGGATGGAGAGCTCACTCCCATCTCACCTTGAAGGATAGACAAAGTGATTAACATGAAGTCCCTGTCCCCAGTGTCCTCCCAAGCCAACATTTGAAGCCTGGCCACCCCCAAGCTCCACCCCAGGGGCAGCTGGCTCAGGCTGATAACAGGAGCTACAGGCACCACGCAGGAGCAGACAGACTTGGCAGGAAAAACAATCACGCGGAAACTAGGCTTGGGGGTAAAGAGGCCGTCTGCCCCTCCCCAAACCCTTCACACCAAAGCCCACCTGGCTTTGTCAGAGGCTAAACCATCGGCTCCTCCAGCACGGACCATGGCTCCCTAGGACCCTCAGAGGAACCTCTTGGTATTGGACTCCGCGGTCTGTACCCAATTAAAAGGGCTTGGGGGGGGGGGCAAAGGCTGGGAAACAAGGCAACTTGCTGAATTCAAACTTGCCAGGCCGCCAAGCTTTTGCACCAGCTGAGACCTCCACAACCCTAGTAGTTTCCAGTTCTGTGGGAATTTCACCTCCCAGGAGGAGGTCCAGCTCCACCCACAAGCCTGACCAATCAGCTTACCTTCCTTGGAGCTAGAGGGTCTCTCAGCTGTTTACTATTTAACTTCTCACAGTCCCCCCAAGTGCCCAGCAGGCAGCCCACAAGCAAAGGGGGAAGAGACCTCACAAAGGGTTTGTCAAATGAATAAATAACCTTCTGATTGTTGAATGGCTAACTCAACTTTTTTTTCCACTTTGATTTTTTGGACTCTGTAGCCCCAGCTAGCCTGGAACACAGTTACTGTGTAGACCAGGCTGGCCCCTATTTCACCAAGATCTGCCTGTCTCTGCCTCCCAAGTGCTGGGGTTAAAGGCATGTGCCACCATGCTTGGCTGACTAAATGGATTTGTAGTCTTTCAAGACCCATGTTGTCCTCTTTGATCCCCCCACCCCAACCAGGCCACTTTACAGAAAGGGAAACAAAGGGCCCAGAGCAGGTGTCTGACGCCTCAGGATGTGACCAACACCCACAAATGGCCAGTAGTAAACTGGGCAGAGTGACAAGTCAGTTGGGTTTGGGGAAGGCAGTCTGCTTCCAACCTGGCGATTGATTGTGCCAGGTTGGGACCAGGCTCGCCAGGACACACCCCGGGCACTCACACCTTCTCTGGCACCCACTCCCAGAACAATACAGAACCCACTTTCCAGGCAGGAAACAGAGCGGAGGTGACTCAGCGGGTGTGGCAGGCTGGGGGCCTAGCAGCCCCAACCCCCAACAGGCGGGCGGATCCCAGGGTGAGAAGGTGAGAAGGAAGTAATTCAAAACATAAGCTTTCTTACAGCAATATCTACACTCAAGGCGTTACCCAGCACAGAGGCCAAGGCAGGGGGATCCAAAGTCCAAGGTCAGCCTGGGCTACAGAGTAGGGAGGTCAGGGCCAGAAGGAAGTAATTCAAAACATAAGCTTTCTTACAGCAATATCTACACTCAAGGTGTTACCCAGCACAGAGGCCAAGGAAGGGGGATCCAAAGTCCAAGGTCAGCCTGGGCTACAGAGTAGGGAGGTCAGGGCCAGCCTGGGCAACTTAACAAGACTGTCTCAAAATAAAAAGTAAAAATAGAGCTGGGCATGGTGGTGCCCGCCTGTCATCCCCAGCATTCAGAGGCACAGGCAGGTAGATTTCTGTAAGATCAAGGCCAGCCTGGGCTACATACTGAGTTCCATACCAGCTGGGGCTACAGGGACACTCTGTCCCCAAAAAGGGGGGGAGGAGGGAGTTTAGTTATTCATTCAACAAACCCCAGTTTATTAGTTATTAATTTGACAAACCCTCCAGGAGGGAGACCCTGACTCAAAAATAAATAAAAATAGGGGTGAGACTGTAGCTCAGTGGGCAGAGCTCACGTAGGACACATGAAGTCCTGGGTTCATCCTCCGCACCCCATAAACCAGGTGTGGTGGTGCATTCCTGTCACTCCAGCACTTAGGAGGTGGAGGCAGGAGAATCAGGAAATCAAGGTCATCCTTGACTACATGGTAAGCTCCAGACCAACCTGGGCTGTGTGAGAGTGTCTCAAAAGAGAAGCAAAGGTGGAACTAAACAGAACTCTGGTCTGCCAAGCACTCTAGGGCAAAGGGCCCCTAACCCCCGCCACCCACAGAAGAGGTCACTATCTGTATCCACTTACACATGGGAAACTGAGGCACAGACAGGCTGAGCAACCTGCCCAGCCAGCTGCTTGAACCCCACAAATGTGACTCTCGGGGGTATAGGTGGACCAGGCAGGGTACCACAGCAAGTCACATTGCCCCATGTCCCCTTATCACTTTGGGAATTGACCCCCAGGGGTGGATTATCCTCCAGGGACATAAGAGGTGGGGATGGGGACCTCAGCATCCTTCCAGCCCAGAGCCACCTCAGCCACTAGGGAAGAAGTGGGGGGACCCCAGGGGGTGAGTGTCCAGTATGCAAGGAGGTGGAGGAGAAACAGAGGACTCCCAACCCAGGAGGAGGGGGAGGAGGAGGAGACCCCAACCCAGGGAAGAGGAGAAAGAGGATAAGGAGACCCCCAAACCAGGGAGGAGGAGGAGAGGACCCCAACCCAAGGAGGAGGAGAAGGAGGAGGAGGAGACCCCAACCAGGGAGGAGGAGAAAGAAGATGAGGAGACTTCCAACCCAGGGAGGAGGAGGAGGAGAAGAGGACCACAACCCAGGGCAGAGGAGGAAGAAGAGGAGGAGGAGGAGAGGACCCCAACCCAAGGAGGAAGAGAAGGAGGAGGAGGAGACCCCAACCAGGGAGGAGGCTACCGAAGCCTGGAAAGGAAGAATCCGGAGGGGGTTAGGAAAAGGAGCAGGGAGGCCCTGAGGGAGGAGGGGAGCCCCAGCCCCTACTCACAGCCTGCTCCCGGTTCCCGGGGTCCCAGTCTCCGGGCTGCTGTCCAGGCTGTCCAGGGCCACCATGGCCTGCAGGAGTATCTGCCCAGCCGGGCTTGAGGCTGGGAAGGAAGTGACGGTGGGAGGCGGAGTCTGCAGCCGGGACCTGGGCGGGGACAGTCAGGGACAGTCTAGGACAGCCTGGGATGCTTCCCATCCACATAAGCTCCCTGCCTCAGTTTACCCTCTGTACACACAGAATGGTGTCACCCCTCACCCTTCCGCCTCTTTGACTTCATCCACCCATCAGGGTGTGCTGGGGACCCAGTAGAGACAAGGACCTGGCCTTTTGTCACCCAGAAGAAGAGAGAGGACAGTTAGGGCGGCAGCTGGAAGCTACATATAAGGAGAGCTGGGAAGAGTATGCATGCTGAAGAACAGCCTGTGCAAAGGCCAGGGAGGGAGGGGGCACCTGGGGTGACAGGAGCCCTGACAGTTTTGAGGGCAGAGAGGTCAGGACCCAGTGGAGAAAGTCTGTCTCCCCCTAGAGAGAACAAAGGGGCATTTGAGTGGCTCAGGGAGAAACCAGGCTTTCACCTGGTGGAGGAAAGGGGAAGCAATGTCTGGTGCTGCCCATCTCAAAAACAAAACAAAACAAGGAGGTAAAGAATCAGCATTAAGAGCACTGGCTGCTCTTTCAGAGGACCCAGGATTGGTTCCCAGCACCCATATGGTGGCTATGAACCATCCTTAACTCCAGTTCCAGGGGACTCCGAAGCCCTCTTCTGACCTCCAGGGCGTTGCATGACATGGGTGCACTCACATACATGCAGGCAATACACACATACAAATAAAATAACAATAAAAAATAAAATTATATATTTTAAAAAAAGAGCCCAAGCCTGTAGCCCAAATATTCAGGAGGCTGAGACAGGAGGATTATAAAATGTAAAAACTGTAATTCCCCTGGAACTGTAAGCTCAAACTCTTCCTTCTATTTAAAAAAAAAAAAAAAAAAAAAAAAGCAAAAAGAGGCTGGGAACACAGCACTGCCCTAACATGGGAGAGGTCCTGGGTTCTAAGCCCAGCACCACACAAGTAAATAATAAAATAGTAAAATTAAGCAGGCATGGTGCACACACTTGTCAGTCCAGCACTAGGGAGGTGGAGGCAGGAGGAGCAGGAGTTCAGGGTCATCCTCAGCCACAAAGGGAGTTCGGGGTTAGCCTGGACTACATGGGACCCTGTCTCAAAACAGCAAATAAATATTGTAAGACTTTGTGTTGGGGACAGAGGGGGAAACCTGGGGAAGGGGCTGTGAGGAAGACTTGGGGGCTTGGAAACTTTTAGTTCCTAACATCACCCATGAGAATCTCTCTCATGGTAAAAGACTTCAGAACCTTCTGCCTGGATCTTACTCCCCAGGGAACTGCAGCATCTTCCAGAGGCTGCAGACTCCCACTCCCCTGGCCCCTTTGGGAACACGAGCTACACATTATTTTATACCTTTAAGTCTTCTCCCTGGATGCTGGGGGTCACCCTAGGGCCTACACACACCAAGTAAATATACTACCACTGAGGCACATCTCCAGTCCCCTCTTTTTTTTCTCTTTGAGACAAAGTCTCCCTGTAGTACCAGCTGGCATAGAACTCAGTATGTAGCCCAAGCTGGCTTCAGTCTCACAGAGATCCACCTGCCTCTCCCTCCTGAGTGTTAGGATTAAACGTGTGTGCCTCGAAACCTCCCAGTTCCCTTTTAAAATTTTGATTGATTGATTGATTGTACATGAGTTTTGCCTATACGTGTGTAAGTGCATCAGGTGTGTGTGCAATGTCCAAAGAGGAGAGAAGAGGCTGTTGGATCCCCAGGAACTAGAGTTACAGACAGTTGTTAGCTGTCATGTGGGTGCTGGGAACTGCACTAGGGTCCTCTGAAGGAGCAGCAGTGCTCTTAACCACTGAGTCAGCTCTCCAGACCCGTTGCCCTTTTAAATAGTTTTAGTTTTATGGGGATGGGGGCTTGTGTATTTTTGAGACAGGGTCTTCCTGTAGCCCAGCTGGCCTGAAACTCACTGTGTAGACTAAGCTGCCCTTGAACTCATAGAGATCCTCCTGCCTCTGCCTCCTGAATGTTGGGTTTAAAGGCAAGCACCACCATGCAGGGCTAGTTTTTCTTTTGGTAACACGGTGGTATCCTCTTTTCTCTGCTGCATAGTAGTCCTCAGTGGTTTGCATGTCTTAGAACTTTAGTTTCAAGCAGGGACCCTTGGAAGTTTCCAGAATACATTTAACAAGTGTGGGATTATGGGGTTAAGGTTAACTTCTTGTGGTGGTTCTTGTTGCCTAGTTCCTAAGTGCCCACATCTGTCCTGCCTACTCTCAAAAACCCCAGCCATTGCAAGCTAAGTGGGGGAACCTTGAAACCTTCGATCAGCCAGCCAGTTTTCCTCCGTGCACTTCCCCTCGCCTGCCACGCCCCCACCGCCTCCCACCTTCGGCGGGTCCCCTTGTTCTGTTATCCTCTGGGAAGAGGGCAGAGCCTGAAGAGGCTACAAATGGCGAAGGCGGAGACAAGGGAGGGGGTGCGGGGTATTAACGAGGGCCTCTGATGCCAGCAGAAGTGACTGCCGCAGAAGCCATCTCTTCAGACCCCGGGGTCTGCAGCAGATAACTTCCGAAGCGCACGCAAGCATC